AAAAGATGATGTTTCATCATCTATACTGAGGCCTTCTTGAGGCCATAATATAGAAGCAGAAATGTTGTTTCCATTTCTTTCAATAGGTAGTTCCAGCCCATTAAAGTTATCACATTTACTGCAAGTAATAAATATTACATATTCATTTTAAAGTGAGTGAAGCGTTCAGCAACCTTTATTCTATTTGATCTAGTCCTAGTGAGGATGGGCTTCATTGATCTCTTTAATAAATGAAGGGAAGATGTGGTGAAACCTGACTGTTATAGCCCTTGTTTAAAATATTAAGTTTTCTGGAGTGCCAGTAGATTATTGTTGTCTCTGCATGAACATTAATGTAGGTATGAGTAGGGTAAATGTTATGTATTTCACCATCACTCTTGCTGCAAAGACCAAATGATAGCCTATAAGTTGAAATGTTACTATACAAGAGATTTGTGAGGACAGGTATACAAAATAAAGAAAATACTAGTACAAAAAAAGAAGTATATGGCTAGCCAATTATGAGAATTTGATAAGAAAAACTAAAAATATTGTGAAGAATATATATATATATATTGTAAATTATCAAGGCATGTTGTAATCACACTAGTATAAGCAAATATGTAGTAAAACACATAAACACCCCTCTTAACAAATCATATATATCCAATCAGGGATCATACTTGAAACTCCACCATTATGTGGCAGCACAAATAACAAAGTCCAAACTCAGCAATATAGATGTCAAACTATTTTGTGAGCCAATTTTTTTTTTAATCTACCATCAAGAGGAGTGGACACAGATTCCTACTGACAAGAGAGATTAGCAAATGGTTTGTTGCAATTAGATATGACAAGTGACATCTAAAAAAAAACCATCACAATAGTCAATATGCAGTCTTCAAGCTCAGGCCCAAAAATTATAAGTGAGAAACTGCAAAAAGTAAGGAAATACTTAACTTTTGGCTGTAAGTTTTCATTTTTTAAGTGTTCCTAATTGTTGGAGCAGGATTGATAAAAAGTGTTTTTTGATTAGATTGTATAACATTTTTCTGAGTATTGAAAAGGACATTATTTAAGATTCAAAAGAATCAAAAACTTCATATAATGCATATTTATTAACAGCTAAGAAATGTAAAAGCAGTAAAAACAACATATATATGCCTAATACAAATGCTATGCATCAAATGTAAATGAAGTTTTTAAGTATTTGTGATAGCAATATTCATTATATTAACAGAAAATAACTTTGATTTATGTTGTTACATTATTGTATATTTAACTTATTGTTTAAAACTTCATTATTGGTTCTTTTGTCTAGGCTATAAATTATATACATTTCTTAATCTCTTTCCATTTTAACTGCACTAAAAGTAAAGGAGACCAGGCCTATAGTTTTAATATTCAAGATTAACTTCACACTTTTTTAATGAAGTCATACGCAAACTAATCCCCTGGTCCTTTCTTTCAGTACAGTGTTAAAATAATTCTTTTACAAATATTAATGAAGAAAGAAAGTTATGAAAATGGTTACTCTGCAACTAAAACCAGATGACTTTATTGCTAGTGGTGTCATTCTGCACAGTACTCAATTAATGAATAACTAGTGTTCTGAGATTAATTTATTTCCCAAGTTTGTGAACTAGAAGTGTAGAGGATTTCTTATTCTTATAGCTATATAGTAGTTATACAATTTTGCTATCATAATACCAAAATTATAGATGAAAATATTACAAAGTTATATAGCATGTTCTAACATTTAAAATTCTTAAGGTGATTGGCCACAGTTTTAGAAAAATATAATTCTAACTTTTGTTTCCTAATCCATTATAACCACAATAACTAGAAATATATGCAGATTACTTATAGTTTTGAAAGTTCTATAAAGTTTGAATGCTGTAAGGCATGGGTCAAGACAGTAAATATCATATACTCACTCTTCTATTACTACTATACTTTGCTTATATTAAAGAAAGTTATAAACAAAAAATTTAATTGTATATGTGAACTTTCAAATAAGCCATAAAATAATGTTATTCCATTAGAAATAATCCTAAATTTTCTCAGTTTAATAGAATTATTAAAGAAATGCTATTATTTTTTTTAACAAAACTGTAAAGTAGTGAGCCAGCATGGTCCCCAATTTTTACAAACATGTTGAATTGATTCAAGTGAACTACTGCAGTATGTACCTTATGTACTTCAGATTAATATTGGTCATTGAAAACTTTGAGTGGAAAAAAACTTGAAATTTATATATCATGCAAGTTTATTTCCAATGTTGTGTGAATCTTCTGTTTTTAATTTTACATTTCAGTGTCAAACTGGAATAACAGTAAGTGGATAAAAAAACCTTTTGGGACAAAAATTAGTTTCCTAACCTTCATACTAATATTTTGTTTTAAAAATGTTTTTTTGTTATTAATTTAGCTAATATACGTGATATTATCTATCATACACTAGTAATAGCAATAGGTGGCTTTGGATAAATACTTACAAAACTTATCGATTAGAAACACTTTCTATACATTTTATTAGAACTAGATAAAAATAACTATTATGGAGGATTGGTTCCATTTTAGAAGAAGAAACAAATCAGGGGATATCAGTGACTCCCCTCCCCTCCATTAGAAAGTTAATACAACTTCAAAAATACGAGCTGGTACAGCCCAGCCCATAGACAAAGTAAATTTCCCAAGTGACATCATGAATGAAATAACAAGTAGACTGAAGGAAAAAGAAAATATGAAAGAGAGGGCACAATGGTCAACTGGATGAAAGAAAACTAGACAATAAAGTCAACTGAAAAAAAAGACAAATAAAATTACACAACTAGGTAAAGTATTTTGGAAAACAGTATCTATAACAACTAAGCCAAGACTTAGTTAATAATTAAGCTGTTATTAATACAATTTTCTAATCAATGGCTTCTCCTAATTGTTCAACACTTGCTCTTAAACCCAGCTGTTCTGTTTATCCTTTTGTGTAATTTTCTTTTTTTTCCAATTGACTTTTTTCTATTATATTTATTACCACCACTGGGAATAAAGAGGGTGGAAGTGGGAAAGCATGTGAAAGGACAAACATTACTTGTATCAAATTTAATACTAGAAAAAACATGTGGAGACTATTGAAGAGATGCAGGCCAGTGCCAAAATCTTTAAGTGCATAATACTTGTAAAAGTAGTATTATTAAAAAACATCTTATTTATGTCTGGTACCTGTTGTTAAAACTATATATACATATGTATGTAAAATACAAATTAAACAAAAACGTAAATAATAGTAAGAAACAGTAAAAGTTGTTGTTGCCTCCCCGTGGTCAGTTGTTCTGAATTAGGAACAATACCACACTACCAGTACTGCACACTGACAAACAATGAAACTCCACAACTGGAAGAAGGAGGGCTTGTGTGAAAACTGCTAAACTCATCTGGTGTGTAAACAAAATAAATGTCATATTATATCCTTAATACACTAGCATATTATTTAGTCTAGCCTGAGAATCAAATATGAAAAAAAGTTTACATGACTTGGCACATTAGACTGTCAAAGCACCAGCATTTTGGTTTAAATTTGTAATTTGTAGTCACTTTATCAAAGTTACTCAACATATAACCTCACCCTAAGAGTTGCCACTTTTTGTTTATTGCAGCTATGCCAGAGGGTTGTATTTGTGTCGGATGTTTACACAAGGACAAGCTTGGTAACAAGCACCTACTACCAACTCTTGGGCTCTTAACTGAACAATGCAATTTGACAACAACCTTATAATACACCCACAATCCTAAAGTGCAGTGTGAGATTTTGCATCAATGATATGTGAATCATATGCCCACAGTCTGGCATGTTAACCACTAGGCAATGCCTGGCCTATGCCAGAGGGATGTGATATTAGAAAGGGTGGAATGTCAAAGAGAGTCAGAACTTTACCATACTAACCAAACCCTACATGTGATCCATCACAATGCTGATTTACAACTTCTCTTCAGATTTCAGCTGAAGCCTTGTAGTGTACAATAAAGGAATGATAAGAACATAGACTTGCCAGCACCATGTAGAAAATAGAGCTTCTTTAATGGTGTGAAACTGGTATATTTCCACAAAATAATAGTGGAAGACCAAAGTATATTATGTGGGCAGTCAAGATACCAATTATGTCGTAAGTCCAAGAAAAGTATGAATAACTCAAAAGCTGTGTGTTTTATTACATTATTGATAAAAAAAAACTTTACTCCAAAAAGAGTAAAAAGGCAAAGGGAGACTGATACAAGTTTCTTTATATTCGCCATACCATAAGAAAAACAAAGAACAAGCAAAAAGAACTTCCCATAAAGAAGCATCAAAACCCAAGATTACTACAGTTTATAGACTGAACAACAGTCTTGGGTGGTTGGAAAAATAAGATATCATTGCAGTAAAGTAAATCTGACAGGGGCAGAACTTTTAATATAAAATGTAACTCTTGATAAGAGAAAACATTTAACCCCTTAAACCTTCCAAAAAATATATATATGTCTGTGTACACATGTGTGTGATCGTTGTGTTTATATATATATTTTTTTTGTTTTTTTTATTTTGATCCTTGGAAATCAGACTTCATCGATTGGAATGGTGAAGAAAGAGCTTGATTTTAAGCTAAAAAGGAAATAACACTTTTAAACAATTTGTTCTGAAATAAAATTTCCAAGAGGATTAAAGCATTATTCAGAAAAACATGATTTCACTAACTTGATAAATAAATTCCAAAAATATATTATAAAAAGGTTAACAAATAAACTAAAAGTTAGAGAGAAAAAATGACTAAGATGCAAAACCCAAGTAAAGTTTGTCACATGAAGAACCAGAAAAAACAATGCTAAGACTTTCTTAAGAGAATGAGACTATAAAATGAAAAGAATGTGTCAAATTAGCAACAAGATGGTTGATCAAAAGGTGATACACAGTTATTTTACTACACATTGTGTATTCCATAAGTAAAGAATAGTAACAAAACAAATGTTTTTACACTGTAGCCAAAATAATATTTTAAAACTGTTTTATTACCACATTTAAGCAAGTAGATGAGGCAGTTTGAGTTAAATAACACTTTTGGTGAAGAGTTGCAAATTAGTATGTTGACAACACTAGCAATAACCTTCTAGTTATACATATCATACCACAGAAATATCAACATCATTCAAAAACAGTTTAATTATCTATAAATTGTACAAAAACTCAACCAAAGCATGATTACTAGTACTTTGAACAATTTTTAACATCAAACAAGTGTGACAGGAATGAAAATGTAAATTTAACAAACAATATTAAATATTTCTGTTTTTCAGAAATAAAGGTAGGATAGATATATTTTCATTTCTGAAAGTAGTTTTGTGATCATATGTATAAACTAGATTTATAAAGGGAATGTTACAGCTGATGTAGTAGCACCATGAGACAGCTTGCACTGTCACAAAACTGGGATTACACTTCTCTACGATCTGTAAGTACACGCATGATACTTCCAAGTCCACCAGAAGCAAAGACCTAAAAAAGTTAAATAAAATTTGACTTGAATAAGTAGCAGCAACCTATTCTCTCAAAATACGAGTCTAAAAAGAATAGTTGCATATAAAACGTGTTCTTTAAAACAACAGATGCTGATCAAGAAAAAAATCTGTTATAAAAAACATAAATCGTTGTAACTAAATGCTAAAATATGCTGTAAATGAAATTTCAAGATAAGTTGTACATTATTTACTTAGTATACTATGCCTATTTTACTTGCATTCACTTGAATAATTCTGTGCTTACTTCTTAACAAACTTGTTCATTTGTTTATATATCATTTGTCTTACAGTAGATGTAATTTTTTCTTTCAGGCGTATTTAACCTGAACACTTAATAACCGTGTTAGCTGTATTAAATATCACAATCACTTTTCTAGTAATGTGGGTTTGTTCATACCAATATAGAATATTGCTTCGTTTAGACTTCATTACTATCTTGTTACAACTGTAATTCCTTCTTCTACCTCTGACTTTGGAGCATAAGCAGTTAGAATCAGGAACTTTAATGTACAGTTACAAATTTTACCTTTTCATGCCACTGCAACAAAACAGCACTACTACCTTCAGATGGTATCTCAAAGCCTCGATACACATACTTCATTAGTGTGTCCAGCATCTCGCTGTCAAGGGCACCGACAGCCTTGTCAATGTCACTAGGTTTAAATGACATAAGTACCTTCATCACTAGGCTCAGAGCTGAGTTCTGTTAAAAAAAAAAAAAAGAAAATGTTAAAAATATGTAAATGGTGTTTCAATAATAGACACTTCCAAAGAACATCAATCTAGCAATATCATGTGTGTGTATCTGTATATTTTATCAGCTTAGGAAAAAAAAAACATGTTGATGTTATCAAGTTATAATATTAAAGAATATAAATTCAGAAAAATTTTAAACATTTTGTGTTAGAATTAAGAAAATTACACAAAATAATAAAAGGTCCAAAAAGAATTTGACTAATATGAAAATGTATGTTATTAATAGAGAGAAGGGTTTTACCAGATTTTCAAGCAAAACATGGGTTTAACACACATTCAAGTAATCCCTGCTTTCACTAGGAAAATGTTCTTATATACCCAGTATATCTATATAATATATTGTTACGTCTCTGTTTGTTAATTGACTTTTCCGTAACTTCGTTCCGACAAAATTTTAACGACACAAGTCTTTACTTAATAAAACTGGTTTATTCTTTCCGAATATAACTTTACCGATACACTCAACTTCAACAATCGCGCTAAAACAAACGCTAATCAATGAACGTCAACAATACTTCTGACTGCAGTTCAGTTACTCACTATCTACACACACATTACATTATTGCCGTCACGT